GAAAGAGCAGAGAGAGAAGCCAGCTCAGTATTCTGCACCCCCAGGCAGGAGATGATGGTGGCTTGGAACAAATGGCATCAATGGATGTAGTGAGAGTTGGATTCCAGATGTCATTTGAAGAAATAGCTGGAATGTCTTTAAACAAAGCAGGTGGTGAGGTCAGGGTGACCAGAGAAACCAGAGCTGTCCTTAATTAAAAGGCAAGTCTGCAGGAGAAACGGGTTTAGATACAATGAGTGCTTCCGATAAAAGTGTCCAAACGTTCACAGGAGACAGCAGGATGTTCAAAGTAACAGGAGGCAGCAGGAGGGGCCTGCAGGCCCAGCAAGGTTGGGTCAGAGGGAGGGGCCTGCTCTAGGGGTTGGGAGGAGCCAAGGATGGTGGGCTCTCCCAAGACGCGCAGTACAAGATGTGTGGTGGTTCCTGCAGTCTGGGCATTTGGAGTTCTAGGCTGACATTTTCAGAACTATAAATATGTGCCAGTCTTGTTCTGTTTTCCACATCTTAGGTCCTTTTGTCCTCACATCAGCCTTTTGTGGGAGGAGCTATTAGACCCATTTTGCAGAGGCCCATCTAAAAAGAGATTCTCATTGCCACCATTACTCTCTTCCCCCATACTCTGCTACCTTGCTATGTTTTTCTTTATAGCCCGTTAGCATTTATTTGATGTTATATAATTTATCTTGTTTATTTTTTCCTGCCTGTTGTCTCCAGTAGAATAGAAGCTCCAGAAGGGCAGGAACTCCGTTTTATTCACTACTGTTATTCCCTGTGTCTAGAACAGCGCTTGGTACATGGCAGATGGCCAGTAAACACTAGTATTTACCAATTGAAATAATGACTTTGGGTTGGAAACAATAAAAGGTATAATAAAGCTTTACACAGTAAAACATAGAATTTCTATAGCCCAACTATTTTCACTTTGGGTTCAGAATTTTAAAAAAATTATATTTATTATAAGTTTCATGTAAGACGAATACAGAATTAAATTACAAGCTAAAGATCTGATTTCTATTCAGTATAAATCCACAAAATTTTTTGGTATATAACAATTATTTTTTGTATTTAAATTTATTGAATCTTGATTATTTTGGAATATTTTCCAAATTACCCATGTAAGGTAGGATTACCCCCCCCCCCACACACACACACACATTAAATAGAAAGCAAATCAAGGTTTGGGCAGTAATGTTCTACAGGCCTAACTTACCTGATTCATATATTTTTAGGGTGATGTAATGTTTGCCTTGGGAAAATTATCCAGATATTTTCCAAATCTTTTCAGGGTACCTTTTGTAGATTGATTTTGTGATCATTAAAATGTATGTTAGATCTAATTTAAATAGCTATTATTTATTGAGGACCTTCCATGTACCAAGCACTTTACCAAGTACTTTCTATAAATTGTTTTAATCTTCTTTTTCATCTAAAAATGAAAAAGTAAAAATTATCTCAAATCTATCTACTTTTCAAAACAACTCCATGAAAAATATTCTTGGCCCCATTTTACAGATGAAACAAGCTGAAGGGGAGACCAGGATACTAAGATCCTCTAGTTGAAGGTGGCAATGTTGTGTTAGAACCCAGGTGACTCAGGCAGGAAGATCCAGCCTGAATTATTACCTGATATTACTCTTCATGACTCCATAGTACTTACTTGGCAGAGGTATGGGTTTTTGGTGGACTTGTCTGAAAGGAAGAATTTAAAAATTAATTAAAGGGCAAAGCACAGGTGAATAAGTTTGACTTTCTGTTTACAGTGAATTCTCTATGAACACTCCCATCACCAAGGAATCAACAGGAATTGCCAGTGAAACAGATCTAAAGGTAGGAGAGGCACCAAAACCTTCAAGATAAGAAAAATTGTTCCCTTTACTTTTGAAAAAGGAGGAGCCTTGACTAAGGCATTATATTTTAGTTAATTCGAATAGTTAACCTGAAAATTAGGTCTCTGAGATTCTAAGCTGTTCTTTTAACGTTACCTACTTAAAAGCTGAACACCCTTTAAACCTTAATTGCAAAGCAATGACATGTCAGATCTTTACCAAGCGCCACAAGCATGGGCCACTGTGTGGTGTAACCCTGTGGGCATTAATGCCTGCAGCGACAAGCGGAAGCTCGTTTTTAAAGGAAAGGATTCTTACTTCTGGGCAGGAGGAAGCACTGGTGACTGCATAGCTTCTTGTCTGTGACTAGACGCTCG